ATCATTTTGCTTCTTCAAATTCCTTGACACTTTTATTCTATTTAAATTGAATTACATTTGCTTCTTTTCTTAAGTTAGGTATACTAATGTAAATGCTCGCAGGATACCTACCATAGTAGTCCCAAGATGAAAGAACTAAAGAGTCTTTGGAATCAAAGAAACAAATAACCACACACAAATATCAAACTAGTCAAGAGAAAGAAAACACGTCCGAATTATCCTGGTTCACCAGAAACCGAGCTACTTTTAACAGAATCAATATTGTTGAAATATTTTTACACCTCTTTCATTACAATGAATGTATCTACTATGATTTGTTATCATTCATACAAGAGAATAATGTCTTTATATACTATGTTATGAAGAAAAACTTAATACAACTAGGATCCTTATTCTTAAGCCCAACCCTATTAGACGTTCTAATCCTTAGAGAATCCTATAGCAACACCTTCATGTGCGTTGTACAGATGAGCTATGACCCTGAGTTGCGATCTTGGGGTGCGACCTCGAGGTGTCGAGCTACGACCTCGAGTTGCGACCTTCATTGTTGAAGTGGTTGTCAACTTCAACACAGGATTTTTATGGAGGGATACCCTGAAAAAACAGGCTCATATATTATAACTTCATTAAGCTCATCTAAAACGACTGTATTCATGTCTATAGCCTTATTAAATCCATGGAATTATAAGTTTGACATTGAAATATTCTCAAATTATTGCAGAGTAAGAGAAAGACTCCATTATTTAACTTAAAAATAGCGTTTCAAGTCAGGGAGGTGGCACCAGCATGAAGTCGGATTTTATTTATTATTTTTTTATCTGTTAGGGAACTGTTAATTCTAAATTTAAAATAATTCTGTAATTGAGAATAAACTCTAGCACCATCTCTTTATCTACATAACTAAATTATATAAATAAATTTTTCATTTGAATCTGAACCGTAATGGAAACCTGATAAATAGAATGAAAAGATTTTAAAAGAACCAAGTACAAGATCTCTTCACACTCCTCACTTGCACCCATCTATCCCATAATATAGGGATGGGCATTTGCCCCGGCCCGGCCTGGCCCAAATGGGGTGGGAAATCCTCGAAAATATCGGGGATAAGGCTAGGGACGATCCTTAAGAAAATCCCCGCTCCCGTGGACCCTCACCCCGTCTACTTTTATTGAGAATTTTATGTTTTTTTTTTCTTTGCAAGATTGTATATAAAGTTAGAATTTAAATCATAGTTTTAAGTAATGTATCTAAATTTATAATATTTACTTTTATAATACTTTCTAATGTTTGTATTAAATTTGTAGAAAAAATAATTTAAATGAGGGAGTCTAATAATTAAATATATGTATTATTACCATGTGAATTTCACAAAATAATAATACATAGTCCAAAAATAAATTTGATTAGATTATTATAATTTATCAAACATATACACAATTGCTTAACGACTTACAAATTACACAAATTCAATTATCCTTATAATTAATTAATTGATCAGTTAAAGCATAATAATATTTACCGTTCGGCAATAATTCATTAAAGACAAAGGATCTATTCAATTTTTATAAGCATTCCTTCTTATTAATAGTACCATTTATTTTATACTAAAGAGCAAACGACATGTTCCCACCTAAGATTTACCGAAATCCTAGGTTCATACCCTTAGTTTGATTTATTCCAGATACCCACTCTTAATCTAACACTGTTTCTTTTATTTTAAAAGGTTAAGGGTAAAAGTGTTAAAACCCATTTCTCTCACCTCACCACCGTTGACTGCTTTCCTTCTTCTTCTCCTCTTTCCCTTTTCCTTTCCTTTTTCTTCTTCTCCTCTCTTCCAGATTCTCTCTTTTTCTTCTTCTCCTTTTTTCTTCTCTCTTTCTTCTTCTCTTCTCTCAACCAGATTCTTCCTCTTCTTCTTTTTCTTCTCCTCTTTTTCTTCTCTCTTTCTTCTTCTCTTCTCTCCACCAACTGCTTCCCCTCTAACACTGCTGGGGAAAATGGAGGTTTTGGAGGTGGAAGGGTGGTGGTGTTTGTGGTGATGATGAGGACGGCCAACAGAACCGAGATCGAGCCAAATGGGACCGAAATCGGGTGGTGGTGAGGGATTGCAATGGCGGTAGATGGGTGGAATGGCGGTGGGTGGTGGTGGTGGTGACTTTGGGGTTTCGGGAGGGAGAGAGGAGCGTGGTTGTGGCTGTGGCTGTGGTTGTGGGAGGGAGAGAGAAGCGGCAGAAGAGAAGAAGGGGGAGATGAAGAAGAAGACGAAGATGGGAGGGTAGTTTGGTAATTGCCCTCTTCAGAATCCAACAGTGACTAACACTGTTAGTTCAAGGGTGACAATCTGGAATAAATGAAACTAGTAGTATTATTTTTGGATTTTGTCAAACCTCGGGTGGGAACATGTCGTTTACTCTATACTAAATAACCCAATGAAATCAAGTAATTAATTCAATCACAGTTAGAAAATCAATGACCATCTTACATTTCAGCATTTCTTTTGTTGCTCAACTATAGATAGAACGTCTAACAGATGAATTCTTAGAGAGGGCCTAGCATCAGAAGCTCAAACGTGGAAGACTAACTTAAAACAACATAACTTTTGATTCAGGAAGAGTTATAAGACCATAATATATCAACGGAAAGTTCATTTTGAGCCTAATGTTTTTGGAAGATATTCAATGATTATTTAAATTTTTCTTCAAACTTTATGACCTAAGTTTTTATAACTGAGATATATAGTCTAATGCTAACCTTGTTGTTAAGTTAACTCACTACGTCACCCATGTTCGGCCTTTGTTTTTCTATTGATTCTTTCATGTTCACAATTGACCAGATTTGGCTGTTTACATTGGTCAAAGTATCACAAAACACGAAAATGAGCATTGCCTTAATTTGGTGGTTAATATGTGGCGGTTCCTGCCAATGAGAGATTGTACAGTTGTCAAAGGTGAACGCGTTGCCTAACCTTCACAGATTGGAACCCAGATATCCAATGGAGAAAATATTAAAAGACTTGGAAAATCTTCTTCAGAAAGCTACTCTTTCTTTATAACTCAATTCTTAGTTCATACTTTAACCGTGAAGACTATTTTGTTATAGCCCAATAGTATTGATGAACAATTTTTAGATGAGAAGACTGATATTTGCATTAAAGTTCTCTCGTCCCTTCAAGGCCAAGTGATGCCACGTTCATGTTGTAAGCAGCGGAAGCAAATAAAACTTCAAGGAATTAATTATAAGGAAATGAGGCTGACTTGATGAAACTCCATGTGAAAGATGACTTGTATAAGAACATTCACTTAATTTTCTGAAATCAGTATCCGAATTATTAGGATTTTGGGTCTCATTTTGGACATCTATAAAAAGGNCAAAATTAAAAAGAAAAAGAAAATACTTTTATTAATTTACTGTAATTTCTTAATTTTATTTTTTTAATATAATTAAGTATTGAATTATAACTGAAAGAAAACACGTTTATAATTTTCCTAAAATAATATTTTTCCAAAAAAAGTTAAAAAAATTGTATAAATTGTTTCCTTATTGGCTTATAAATGACTAACAAAAGTCACCATGAATTTCACTCTCACACAATGGTCATGTCCTACGTGGCGAAGACTTACTGCTTCCCGAAGCGATGCCGTTTTAATACCACTAGTTCGTTAGAAAATTAGGTGTGGCTCAACCATACCTGCTTATCCTTTTAGCTGGCTTCTTGACTTTTTACTACATGGTCAAACAGTAAAGGGCTAATCACCGTTGATGAGCTATGAATCTCCTAAACTAACGGTGTAAGATTCGGACTCATCGAGGCTCTGTACCTACAGATTCCGCTACAATCGAGGTACATGTTCTAAAGGGCTGGACAGATATTGTGACGTGGCAAATGCTCACTCTCTCGTGTATAGTGTGGTAGTTTACTCGCTCTAGTTGTACGCCTTTCAGATAAATTTATTTGGACAGGTTTTAATTTTAGTCTATTTTATTATTATTGTTATTGAATATTGTCTATTATTAATGTTTTTTCTTTTTTATAGATACGAATACGACGTATACTAACATTCGTAAATTAGAAGACAAATATTCTCAACTTTTGAAATAAATAATATTTACATATTAGTCTAATAAAATAAATGTGAAATCTATAAATATTAATTTTCATCTTATATAATCTTACAAATAAAAAATGAGTATAGAAAAGTGTTACTCTTATATTGTTACATAAATTATTCTCATTTATTGAATTAATTAGTTTATATGCACCATAATTTCATTTTTATAGTTTATATCTAGTATTTTTTTAAGACCTCAATGTAGTAATTGATAAATTTTATAGTAATTAAAGTACAAAAATTCTATACATACAAATTTCTAGTACAAACTTTATATACAAATTGACTTACCTAACACATAAAATGAATGTATTTAACTTAGTTCAATAAATTCTAATAAATGTGGATGGATAAAAGGTCAATTAAAAGATTATATCACATGAATATATATATATATATATATATATATTATAATTTATTAAAACATGGCGATGCATCATGAATTAAGAATACAATCAAACTATTAGAAAAAAGAAAGAAAATTGATGAGTTTAATTAAATTAAAAAGAGAATAATTATAAAAAATAATTAATAGTAAATTTGAGATATAATAAATATTTTTAAAACAATAATATTTAAACCCATTTTTGTTTTACATTTATAAGAAATTATAATTAAACCCTTAATTTTTGTGGATATATAAAGAATAATAAAATTTTAATTTAATAATTATGTTTTAAATAAAAAACGAAAAACAATAAATACATGGTAAGATTTTGTTTTAAGTTAAAAAAAGAAAAAAAATCAAGAAATATGAGTAATAAATAATACTTTCCAAGCGAGTTGTTGAGTATGGGTAGTCGAGCGAGTAGGGATAAACGAGAAGCGCGTGTGCACAACTTCAAGGAAAAACTGAAAGCCTGAAAGGCATTTAACTGGTGCTACAACAGACAAGCTTTAAAGATTGTATGGTCTCAAACAAAATGGCTGCGTCTACAATGATAGGCATAGGCATCGGAATCGGGACCGTGCCGACTCACACTCACCACTACCACCGAGTTGCTATGTCCACACTCACTCTCTCTCCACCTCATATTCCTCACTCTCTCCTTCTCCTCAACTCCTTCTCTACTCGCCGACGCTCCCTCCGTCTCAACTCATTCTCCTCTCCGACTCTCCGTCTCAGAGCTTCCTCTGTCGACACCGACGCTCCTTCCTCTCCAGGTCTATCTCAAATCATTTATAAACTATTTCTGTGAATATGCTTACTAGTTTGAGTAATGCAGGTGAATATTCTTTTTGTTTTTTTGTTTTTTGTATTTAATAATGTAAAGAGGTATCTTATTTAATCTTTAAAGTTTAATATAGAACTTAGAATAAGAGGAGTCACGAGATTTGAGAAACTTTTTATTCAGTTATGGATAAGTTCATTGAGCTTGCGAGGTTTATCTAGTATACGGATAAGTAAAATTTATGAAAATGGAGGGGGGTTGTGACAATTGGAATGCTATGAGGTTTGGTTAAAATACAGATGAGAAATTTCATGGAACTTCTAGAAGGTTTTTGTCAATTTAGAGGATATATACGATGATTTTATAATTGAAAGGGAACTTTCACTAGTTTGGTTATTAAGCAGGACAGTTGAATGAAGATTGTTTAAGGATTTATTCTGTCAATTATTATCTTCTATGATATTTTGAATCAAGAAGAATACAAATTAATTAATCAATGGATATTATTACCTTTGTTTTGGGCGAAGTAACATCAACTTTCGTGTATGTATGGTTGTAATTTGTTCAGTTACATCTTTAGTGTCAATGGGATCCATTTTAATTCTCTACACATGCTTTTAGGCACCTATGTCGATTACAAGCGTCTCTTGGCAGGAATGAATTTGCTTATGTTGTTTGTAATAGTTGTAAAACTATAGGTATTATTGAGAATTTTCTTATCTATTTTGTTTATCTTCTTGCAGGTAAAGGTGTTGAGAATTTAGTAATAATAGGTTCAGGTCCTGCTGGATATACAGCTGCAATATATGCAGCTCGTGCCAATTTAAAGCCTGTGGTGTTTGAGGGATATCAAGTAGGTGGTGTTCCAGGTGGACAGTTGATGACAACCACTGAAGTAGAGAACTTTCCAGGTTTTCCAGATGGTATAACTGGTCCAGATTTGATGGACAGGTAATGAATAAAAAAGAATTTTCTCCTCTCTTGTTCTTATATGTAAAATTTATTTGTAGCTTCCAGGATTGTGGGATAGAATGTTGACTCCTTTTTGCTACCTAGGATGCGACGGCAAGCTGAACGTTGGGGTGCAGAACTGTTCCAAGAAGATGTTGAGTATATTGACGTTAAGAACAGTCCTTTCACTGTGAAAAGTAGCGAACGTAAGGTGATACATTGTTTTACTGCAATTTCTTCTTTTCTCAATGTAGATAATGGAGTGGTTGCATAATATTGAAACACTGAGTATATAAATATAATCAATTTGGCTTGAAATTTTGCACGTAATCTGACTACTGTTATCATTTCCAGTGTTGAAGCTTATTTGATTTGCTAGTGGAACTAGACACCAAGTTACTGACTATTTCTTTGATGCAAATTCTTCAATGAGCATTGCTTTTATCTTGCTTAGGATATGAGTTACCTGAATTATAGACTTCCCTTTTATTTTAGGGTCATGCTAGTGACATTTGTGACACTCCATCATTCGTTACACTTCCATGTGACAAAATGCATGGGTAGGGCCTTTTGATGATATGTGGCACCACTGTGTGCATGGTTGTCTGACACACAAGTGTCATTAGTAATCTTTATTTTCTTGCTTATATTACAAGTAGAACCCAACTTTGTTTGTCATTATATCTTTAATTATACCTTTATTTGATTAGTTTTTAAGATTTCATGAGAAAGACATAAAAGGAGGGTTTGCTTTTTCCCTGTTTTAAATCTCATGTAATCTTGGCACTAGGGTCTTTTGTGATGTTGATGGTCGGAATCAGTTGTTAATTGGTCTTTGAAATGACTTAATTCGTTCATATGGCGTTATGAATAGTTTTTTTTTTTTTTTTGATTTTATTCACATTCAGGTTCAGTGCCACAGCATCGTTTATGCTACAGGAGCCACTGCAAAAAGGCTGAGGTTGCCTCGTGAGGATGAATTTTGGAGTAGAGGGATCAGTGCTTGTGCGATATGTGATGGAGCATCTCCACTGTTTAAGGGGCAAGTTCTTGCTGTGGTTGGAGGAGGAGATACAGCAACAGAGGAAGCAATATACTTGACGAAATATGCTCGTCATGTTCATTTACTAGTACGTAGGGATCAACTAAGGGCATCAAAAGCAATGCAAGATAGGTTAGTTATTACGTAACTCATTTATTTCTTCCTTTTTTCTCATCTTTTTCTTTTGAAGTTGTTAAAGCTCCATTTTTACCGTAGGATTGTAGATTTGTTGTTGTAAAGTACTTATTTTCCCTTTGATTATATGATATCACCTGTATGCATTAATTTGTTTTCTCCTTACCCATGCGCTGTTGATGTGCAATCTCTTTCTTGAATTGTCTGTATCATGCTGTAATGGTTCTTTATTTTCATGACAATAATCTTCTCAAAATTGGAGATTAGTAACTTTATCTGCCACACGATTGCTCTGTTAGAAATACTTACATCAGCTGGGACAGGGAAGTGTATATTATAGGGAAAAGAACCAAAACATGATAGGCTTCGTGGTATTTTCACTTATTTTTTCATTTATTACTAGTGTTATTTATTTGTTTTTTGAATTTGTTTCATGGTGTTTATTTTCTCCTCTTTGTTTCTCAGTGACGGCCTTGATAATGATGAATTAGATACTAATGAACAATTTGTATGTTGAGTTTTCAACTCCCTGAATGTTTGTTTAACAGGTTGATTATCGCGAATGTTTCAGAGTGTTCAATAATCCAAATATCACCGTGCACTTCAATACTGAGACTGTTGACGTTGTTAGCAATACGAAAGGCCAAATGTCTGGCATCTTACTCAGAAAACTTGATACTGGTGAAGAATCTGTGCTTGAGGCAAAAGGCTTATTTTATGGTATAGGTCATTCACCAAATAGCCAGTTGTTGGAAGGACAAGTTGAACTGGATAGCGCAGGTTATGTAGTTGTTGAGGAGGGTACTGCAAAAACTTCTATTGAAGGTGTATTTGCTGCTGGAGATGTGCAGGTAATCATGTCAAATCTTCATTTAATGAAGGCCATTAGTTTTTATCTGGGGCTGTCAGGTCCATTGTGTGCTCCAAATGGTTTATCCAGGCCTACAGTCTCGCATTGACATAATCCTATTGGTGACCATAATTGATGTTAGAAATATGATAATTTGATTTTGATTCATTAACTGTGTTTTAGAATTCTATGTTGTTGGCATCATGGGCTGAATTTTTCTTAATGAATTTCTTGTTTATAACGGATAAAGTTTATGACAAATATGCCATTCAGTGAAGTAAATTTTTTCAATTTGAAAAGTATTTAGCATAAACTTGGGAAAAAATGATGCTTGTGAAAAATACATAAATTATCTTTGTCGTTTGCAGATGGCACATGTAACTTTGGGGTTAATTAGCATATTTGGACAATTCCATTAGTTTATTGATTCTTGTTTATATGTGATGATAAGTTAATATCCTTGAAATAAAGTTTGGTATATTCAATTCCTTTAAATTTTGAATTGGCGTAATTGAATAGATTAGATGGTCATTTCTCCAAATATTAAATATATCCCTTTTGCTGTATATGTTTCTGTGTGCATGCTTCATCCGAGGTGGATTTACATGATAGTAAAGTTTGAGGAATATATTTCGTCTCTATTATTATTGGTTAAGCTGTGAAGCACTGGAATTACAATCATGGGGAACTTTTTACTTTTCATGGTTCCAAGTAACAAAAATATTTTTGTGGGATATTGATTACATGCGAGCAATGTCATAAGAAATGATACTGGTTATGGGAATTCTTCTGGAAAGCTCAGTGAAAGGTTTTTATAAGCTGCATGTTTGGGGAAAGCCCATGTCTTTTATTGACCTTCTATAAATTCAGTTTCCTTCTTACTAAGTAGGATCATGAGTGGAGACAAGCCGTAACAGCTGCTGGATCAGGATGTGTTGCTGCTTTGTCCGTTGAGAGGTACCTTGTGAGGAGTAATCTCCTCATTGAGTTTCACCAGGTAGCTAACTTTCTAATACTATCCAACTCTGCTCTTGTTAGCCTAATGATATATTGTTATGTTTGCAAATTGTCATATGATTTTGAGTTAACTGATTTTCTAACTCCTTGAAATGGGAGCCTGATAATGTCTAGCATTGCTTATTTGCTTGTACAATACAACATTGATGATTGATTGATATTCTACATGGAGCATTTAGAATCTATTGACATAATGACTATAATTGGTCATATAAATACATCTAAAAAGTTTAATTTGTTGGAGTCTTAAATCTAATATTGTTGCAGCAAGTAAAATCTAACTACTTTCTACTGGTCACTGCAATGAATTTGGCAACATTGCTGGATATATAAGTTCCTGTGTTCTTTCTTTACTGAGGATGGGAAGGAATGCTACAGGAACTCCTGATGTATGTTAGAAGCCTTTGTTGCATGACAAAGCCAAAAAATATTTTTGAAGTTGAGAGCCTTTCTTATTTTTTTGAGTAAATTAGAAGTATGAATGGGAAATAAGTTTCATGGCGGTATATGTGCAGTGTTTAATGGAATTAGCATGCCATAAACAGAGACAGACTTCAATAATCTCTAATTTTCACCTACCTTTGAAAATTAGATTATGTTTTGTACATAGGGTAGTAAGGGTACTGGGAATGGGACTTGTGATAATATTGTAAAACTAGTAAAGAAAAGAAAAAAAAAGGCCCTTCAGTTGCATCATGTGTGCATGAGTAATTATTACATATTACTTTCGTGGTCCATGAAAGATGGTTCTTTCTATGTCAGTGACACTTCAAAATAATTGTGAGTTAAAAATTAAAAGTCTCTTATCCCAAAAAGGAAAAAAAAAAAAAAAATGGCAATTCACGACAAAAAGGTTTTTCTAGCTTACCTTTTGCTGAGTAAAATTCTAGATTTTGCCTTTTGGTTAAATGTTAGTTCTCTGATGGTGAAGTCAGCTCTGGAAAGTTGAAATGTAAATCAGCAGTTTTTTATGAGTTAAATTTTGACTTTGGAGAGATAGTAATGTGTACTGTTGGGGTTTGTATCTCCAAATTGGAGATTAGTAACTTTATCTGCCACAGATTGCTCTGTTAGAAATACTTACTCAGCTGGGACAGGGAAGTGTATATATAGGGAAAAGAACCAAAACATGATAGGCTTCGTGGTGTTTCACTTATTTTTTCATTTATCCTTCTCCTCAACTCCTTCTCCACTCGCCGACGCTCCCTCCGTCTCAACTCATTCTCCTCTCCGACTCTCCGTCTCAGAGCTTCCTCTGCCGACACCGACGCTCCTTCCTCTCCAGGTCTATCTCAAATCATTTATAAGCTATTTCTGTGAATATGCTTACTAGTTTGAGTAATGCAGGTGAATATTCTTTTTGTTTTTTTGTTTTTTGTATTTAATAATGTAAAGAGGTATCTTATTTAATCTTTAAAGTTTAATATAGAACTTAGAATAAGAGGAGTTACGAGATTTGAGAAACTTTTTATTCAGTTATGGATAAGTTCATTGAGCTTGCGAGGTTTATCTAGTATACGGATAAGTAAAATTTATGAAAATGGAGGGGGGTTGTGACAATTGGAATGCTATGAGGTTTGGTTAAAATACAGATGAGAAATTTCATGGAACTTCTAGAAGGTTTTTGTCAATTTAGAGGATATATACGATGATTTTATAATTGAAAGGGAACTTTCACTAGTTTGGTTATTAAGCAGGACAGTTGAATGAAGATTGTTTAAGGATTTATTCTGTCAATTATTATCTTCTATGATATTTTGAATCAAGAAGAATACAAATTAATTAATCAATGGATATTATTACCTTTGTTTTGGGCGAAGTAACATCAACTTTCGTGTATGTATGGTTGTAATTTGTTCAGTTACATCTTTAGTGTCAATGGGATCCATTTTAATTCTCTACACATGCTTTTAGGCACCTATGTCGATTACAAGCGTCTCTTGGCAGGAATGAATTTGCTTATGTTGTTTGTAATAGTTGTAAAACTATAGGTATTATTGAGAATTTTCTTATCTATTTTGTTTATCTTCTTGCAGGTAAAGGTGTTGAGAATTTAGTAATAATAGGTTCAGGTCCTGCTGGATATACAGCTGCAATATATGCAGCTCGTGCCAATTTAAAGCCTGTGGTGTTTGAGGGATATCAAGTAGGTGGTGTTCCAGGTGGACAGTTGATGACAACCACTGAAGTAGAGAACTTTCCAGGTTTTCCAGATGGTATAACTGGTCCAGATTTGATGGACAGGTAATGAATAAAAAAGAATTTTCTCCTCTCTTGTTCTTATATGTAAAATTTATTTGTAGCTTCCAGGATTGTGGGATAGAATGTTGACTCCTTTTTGCTACCTAGGATGCGACGGCAAGCTGAACGTTGGGGTGCAGAACTGTTCCAAGAAGATGTTGAGTATATTGACGTTAAGAACAGTCCTTTCACTGTGAAAAGTAGCGAACGTAAGGTGATACATTGTTTTACTGCAATTTCTTCTTTTCTCAATGTAGATAATGGAGTGGTTGCATAATATTGAAACACTGAGTATATAAATATAATCAATTTGGCTTGAAATTTTGCACGTAATCTGACTACTGTTATCATTTCCAGTGTTGAAGCTTATTTGATTTGCTAGTGGAACTAGACACCAAGTTACTGACTATTTCTTTGATGCAAATTCTTCAATGAGCATTGCTTTTATCTTGCTTAGGATATGAGTTACCTGAATTATAGACTTCCCTTTTATTTTAGGGTCATGCTAGTGACATTTGTGACACTCCATCATTCGTTACACTTCCATGTGACAAAATGCATGGGTAGGGCCTTTTGATGATATGTGGCACCACTGTGTGCATGGTTGTCTGACACACAAGTGTCATTAGTAATCTTTATTTTCTTGCTTATATTACAAGTAGAACCCAACTTTGTTTGTCATTATATCTTTAATTATACCTTTATTTGATTAGTTTTTAAGATTTCATGAGAAAGACATAAAAGGAGGGTTTGCTTTTTCCCTGTTTTAAATCTCATGTAATCTTGGCACTAGGGTCTTTTGTGATGTTGATGGTCGGAATCAGTTGTTAATTGGTCTTTGAAATGACTTAATTCGTTCATATGGCGTTATGAATAGTTTTTTTTTTTTTTTTGATTTTATTCACATTCAGGTTCAGTGCCACAGCATCGTTTATGCTACAGGAGCCACTGCAAAAAGGCTGAGGTTGCCTCGTGAGGATGAATTTTGGAGTAGAGGGATCAGTGCTTGTGCGATATGTGATGGAGCATCTCCACTGTTTAAGGGGCAAGTTCTTGCTGTGGTTGGAGGAGGAGATACAGCAACAGAGGAAGCAATATACTTGACGAAATATGCTCGTCATGTTCATTTACTAGTACGTAGGGATCAACTAAGGGCATCAAAAGCAATGCAAGATAGGTTAGTTATTACGTAACTCATTTATTTCTTCCTTTTTTCTCATCTTTTTCTTTTGAAGTTGTTAAAGCTCCATTTTTACCGTAGGATTGTAGATTTGTTGTTGTAAAGTACTTATTTTCCCTTTGATTATATGATATCACCTGTATGCATTAATTTGTTTTCTCCTTACCCATGCGCTGTTGATGTGCAATCTCTTTCTTGAATTGTCTGTATCATGCTGGAATGGTTCTTTATTTTCATGACTATAATCTTCTCAAAATTAGAGATTAGTAACTTTATCTGCCACACGATTGCTCTGTTAGAAATACTTACATCAGCTGGGACAGGGAAGTGTATATTATAGGGAAAAGAACCAAAACATGATAGGCTTCGTGGTGTTTTCACTTATTTTTTCATTTATTACTAGTGTTATTTATTTGTTTTTTGAATTTGTTTCATGGTGTTTATTTTCTCCTCTTTGTTTCTCAGTGACGGCCTTGATAATGATGAATTAGATACTAATGAACAATTTGTATGTTGAGTTTTCAACTCCCTGAATGTTTGTTTAACAGGTTGATTATCGCGAATGTTTCAGAGTGTTCAATAATCCAAATATCACCGTGCACTTCAATACTGAGACTGTTGACGTTGTTAGCAATACGAAAGGCCAAATGTCTGGCATCTTACTCAGAAAACTTGATACTGGTGAAGAATCTGTGCTTGAGGCAAAAGGCTTATTTTATGGTATAGGTCATTCACCAAATAGCCAGTTGTTGGAAGGACAAGTTGAACTGGATAGCGCAGGTTATGTAGTTGTTGAGGAGGGTAATGCAAAAACTTCTATTGAAGGTGTATTTGCTGCTGGAGATGTGCAGGTAATCATGTCAAATCTTAATTTAATGAAGGCCATTAGTTTTTATCTGGGGCTGTCAGGTCCATTGTGTGCTCCAAATGGTTTATCCAGGCCTACAGTCTCGCATTGACATAATCCTATTGGTGACCATAATTGATGTTAGAAATATGATAATTTGATTTTGATTCATTAACTGTGTTTTAGAATTCTATGTTGTTGGCATCATGGGCTGAATTTTTCTTAATGAATTTCTTGTTTATAACGGATAAAGTTTATGACAAATATGCCATTCAGTGAAGTAAATTTTTTCAATTTGAAAAGTATTTAGCATAAACTTGGGAAAAAATGATGCTTGTGAAAAATACATAAATTATCTTTGTCGTTTGCAGATGGCACATGTAACTTTGGGGTTAATTAGCATATTTGGACAATTCCATTAGTTTATTGATTCTTGTTTATATGTGATGATAAGTTAATATCCTTGAAATAAAGTTTGGTATATTCAATTCCTTTAAATTTTGAATTGGCGTAATTGAATAGATTAGATGGTCATTTCTCCAAATATTAAATATATCCCTTTTGCTGTATATGTTTCTGTGTGCATGCTTCATCCGAGGTGGATTTACATGATAGTAAAGTTTGAGGAATATATTTCGTCTCTATTATTATTGGTTAAGCTGTGAAGCACTGGAATTACAATCATGGGGAACTTTTTACTTTTCATGGTTCCAAGTAACAAAAATATTTTTGTGGGATATTGATTACATGCGAGCAATGTCATAAGAAATGATACTGGTTATGGGAATTCTTCTGGAAAGCTCAGTGAAAGGTTTTTATAAGCTGCATGTTTGGGGAAAGCCCATGTCTTTTATTGACCTTCTATAAATTCAGTTTCCTTCTTACTAAGTAGGATCATGAGTGGAGACAAGCCGTAACAGCTGCTGGATCAGGATGTGTTGCTGCTTTGTCCGTTGAGAGGTACCTTGTGAGGAGTAATCTCCTCATTGAGTTTCACCAGGTAGCTAACTTTCTAATACTATCCAACTCTGCTCTTGTTAGCCTAATGATATATTGTTATGTTTGCAAATTGTCATATGATTTTGAGTTAACTGATTTTCTAACTCCTTGAAATGGGAGCCTGATAATGTCTAGCATTGCTTATTTGCTTGTACAATACAACATTGATGATTGATTGATATTCTACATGGAGCATTTAGAATCTATTGACATAATGACTATAATTGGTCATATAAATACATCTAAAAAGTTTAATTTGTTGGAGTCTTAAATCTAATATTGTTGCAGCAAGTAAAATCTAACTACTTTCTACTGGTCACTGCAATGAATTTGGCAACATTGCTGGATATATAAGTTCCTGTGTTCTTTCTTTACTGAGGATGGGAAGGAATGCTACAGGAACTCCTGATGTATGTTAGAAGCCTTTGTTGCATGACAAAGCCAAAAAATATTTTTGAAGTTGAGAGCCTTTCTTATTTTTTTGAGTAAATTAGAAGTATGAATGGGAAATAAGTTTCATGGCGGTATATGTGCAGTGTTTAATGGAATTAGCATGCCATAAACAGAGACAGACTTCAATAATCTCTAATTTTCACCTACCTTTGAAAATTAGATTATGTTTTGTACATAGGGTAGTAAGGGTACTGGGAATGGGACTTGTGATAATATTGTAAAACTAGTAAAGAAAAGAAAAAAAAAGGCCCTTCAGTTGCATCAAGTGTGCATGAGTAATTATTACATATTACTTTTGTGGTCCATGAAAGATGGTTCTTTCTATGTCAGTGACACTTCAAAATAATTGTGAGTTAAAAATTAAAAGTCTCTTATCCCAAAAAGGAAAAAAAAAATGGTAATTCACGACAAAAAGGTTTTTCTAGCTTACCTTTTGCTGAGTAAAATTCTAGATTTTGACTTTTGGTTAAATGTTAGTTCTCTGATGGTGAAGTCAGCTCTGGAAAGTTGAAATGTAAATCAGCAGTTTTTTATGAGTTAAATTTTGACTTTGGAGAGATAGTAATGTGTACTGTTGGGGTTTGTATCATAATCCAATCCTATTTTAAATCCTCTCGTTTATTTATATTTGACAGCCTCAAACTGAAGAACCTAAGAAGGAACTCACGGACAGAGATGTTCAAGAAGGTTTTGACATATCACGTACAAAGCATAAGGGCCAGGTATGTGTTCATTTTGTCAAGATGCTAGCTCTAATATGAGGAGCTCTTAGCTTTTTTTCACATCTTTTCAAGTGGCATCCTCCTGATTTTGGTTTTTTGTTTAAGACTAGTTCAAAGCTTATATATTTTAATCGTTTTCTTTTTCTTCTCTCCCTCAGTATGCACTACGAAAATTGTACCATGAAAGTCCAAGGCTTATATGTGTACTCTATACTGCACCAACTTGTGGTCCATGTAGGACATTAAAGCCAATTCTTAGCAAGGTACGTTAAGATGGTTGTAATTATTCTTTTGTTAAATGACTAAGAAATTTGCATAACTTTTGCTCCATCTTTCATGGATGGCAGGTGATAGATGAATTTGATCAGAGTGTACATTTTGTTGAAATCGATATTGAGGAAGATCCGGAGATAGCAGAAGCCGCTGGAATTATGGGTACACCATGTGTGCAGTTCTTTAAGGACAAAGAGATGATCAGGTTAGCCAAACTTTTGTTCTTTCTTATTTCGTTAACCGTGCTTGTTTTCTGCTTCTTTGCTCCATGTAAACTCGATAAATCAAATAGCTTTGATGATCGAGGGGCATTCTGTACCTGTTGCCCGTTAGGATTCCTTGATTTAATTAATAATTAGCATAAAAAATATTTGCTTCAAACTTGATTGAAATGGATATCATCAGCTCAGTTGCCTTTTCAGTAATAAGAAATAAGTCGAATATTTATATGTTTTTGACACATATGGTAGCTTCGCCGACCATTCTATGCTTGGTGATGCAGGTCTGTAACAGGGGTCAAAATGAAGAAAGAATACAGAGAATTCATTGAAGCAAATAAATGAGAGAAATTCAGATTCAATTTTAACTGATGGTATCACTTTGTCATTCAATTTTGTTCCTTCCATAATTGATAGTTGAATAATGCCTTGTATTTTTAAGAAGATTTGTTGTATCGACTATCGATCAGTTACACTGTAGATTACACATGCAGAGTTGTGAATGCATTGTTACGGTAAGATCTTGTATTTCTATCAACCTGTATATTTGGCCGAGTTCAGTTCAGCTACGGGATTTGATTCACATAAGAGCACATTGATTCTACTGACAGATATATTGTTTGCCTTTTTGCCTAATTAAAATCCTGTGCGTCGGATTCTTTTGGATTACTTAACCTCTCCGTTAGTAACCAATTCCAATTGATGAACGAATAACTTTAAGCAAATGGAAGAAAGCATTAAGTTGGATGATACACACAGTGCCCATGCCAGGACTTATTGAACAAAAAATAAAGGAGACAAATAACTTATTTTTCAGAAAAAAATTATAACTGAATGGATATACGACGTTGTGGATAATGGATTACGTAAAAAGTTGAGGTTTGGAGACTAGAGATTAATGATAATGGATAGGCAAAAAGTTTGCGTAATAGTGATGATGGTCGCCCCGCCCCTTGTACTTGAGTAGTGCGTCGAAGTAATAACAAGCATGATAGAGCAACCAAACCAAGTCCCACCATTTGGAATGATGGAGCTGAATTGCAAGTACTTTGTGGAGAACTTGGTCACCCTTTAGCTTGGTGTCACCAGGAAAGGGAGAATCAAACGCAAGGCCTAACATGTTGTTCTTGTATTGACCCTAGAAATAACAATATCAGAATCGTATGTAAAAAGATGATGATATACACTCTTGGTCTACAAGCCATGCATGACTGGTGCACCTGTATTTCCCATGATGCAAAGCTAATGTAGGACATCGGGGAAGATCAGAAAGTGGTCTAAACTCTAAAGATTATCATAATAAATACCTATATATCCACAAATATTATAGAATTATTATACATATCTCCCAAGGTTTCGTGAAACCTCTTCTTAAGAGTTTAAGAGCTTTCGAAAATATATCCAAGGAGGGAAAATTACATATTTGACCTTCAGTGATCATTATTAAATGTATTGATGTATGCTAAAAGCCTAAAATTGTAAATATGTTACTCAATAATGAAATTATATGATAGTAAACGTAGATGAATGGGATAGGCGTGATCAGAAGACTGGTTGATGATGACATTTATATTGTTGAAGAGATTAGTTGGTGGCAAGTTTGATGGTGTCTTGTTCAATGAAACGGTTTAATGTCTCAATAAAATGTTGAGGTGACGTCATGTAGAAGATAAATTAATACGCTATGAGTGTGATGACAATACAGTGTGTGTATATAAACAAAAACTAATGTAACAATATCGGTTTATTTTATATGTTTTCAATTTTAATTTATTTATTTTTTTCAAAATATCATATTTTCAAATGATACTCTTACTCATTGGACAACGAAGTCAGAAGAATTAATACAACGAAGGAAGTGAATCTTCGCATTGGACAAGGAAAACCCGCTTCAGCATAGAACTATAAGACAATATATATATAAAGATTAGTAAATCTCATCGTTCTCTTTGTGAAACTTTTTGAATATATATTTACATAGAAAGCGTCAAATTAATTTATAACCTTTACAACAAATTTTGCATCTCCAAAATATATCGTTTCTCCACATGAGAGGAGAAGCAAATCATCGAACAACTCAAACAGATGACTACTCGGTTGATGAATGGAGCAAACAACAATCCTTCCATCGTGGGCAATTTTTTTTAGAACTTGAAGCACAAAGAAAGCTGAAGCACTATCCACCCCGCTAGTGACTTCATCGAGAAACAAGACTCGCGGTTGTGTTAAAATCTCAATACTAATACTAAGCCTCCTCTTCTCTCCTTTGCTTATTTCTCTGGAATGCCAGTTTCTAATCTTGTTTTCAGCGCAATCTTGGAGACCCATTTTGATGATTGTCTCTTCCACTATCTCATTGTTTGTCATTTCAGAAGGAAGCCTCAGTTGAGCTGAATGAGTTAGGGTTTCTCTGACGGCGAGCGTCCCCAAGAAGTAATCCTCTTGAATTACATAAGACTGAAGTGAAAAGTATGAATAACAACTCATTTATCCAATTAATATAATAACCAAATGGTATATGCATAGTTCTTATAATGATCAAGCACTAAATTAATAATTACTAGATGTTATGAAGATTGAACAATTTAGAATAAGCTCACAGCCATGCAATATTCTTGTGCCCTTGGTTCTTCATTAAACTTATAGTTCTTTTTGTTCTGCTGCTTTGGTTTGTACTGTTTCTGATCCTTTACAATTTATTATCTTTGCTTTGCATGTTGAGTAGTAATAATTGTACTGGTCCGGAATTACCAAACTTAATTTTTTTTTTTGAAATTAGGTATACAGTTTCGAGCTCGTCTTGCGAAACAAGTGCGGGAATTTCCGGATTAAAAAAAAAAAGAAAAAAAAAAGAGTAAAATGTACATTCAATACTTACAGCATCTCGGCAAGCTGCGCTTCCCTTCTTGCCATTGAGTAGAACATTTCCTTTCATTATAGTATTTGTTGAGAGTCTCCCTGTCAAAAACAAACAATTAATTGAACATTAATATATATTTCTAGTTGGCTACTTGATGAGAATATCTTGTTACACTTGAGGCTTCAGATGGTCAATTATATAATTTGTAATCAACGTACCAGCCAATGCATCAAGTAAGGTGGATTTGCCAGAGCCAGAAGGACCCATAATGGCCATAATTCGATCAGGTTCTGCGTACCCATTTAACCCATGAAGTAACTTTCTTGTTGCACCATTTCTCCAGTTTTGTGCTATCACTGTTAGATCTTGCCACACTAAAAATGTTGCCTTACTTTCCCCAGCTTCTAACTCGTACCAATCCGTCGTTTTTGCCTCGTCTTTCGACTCCATTTTGAGTGTTAATGTTCTTCAAGGCCGCAGTTACTGCATAATTTTTCATATTAGTGATTAATAATTAAAAAAAAAGTACATGAAAATAAGTATATTCATATACTTAACGATGCACAATCACTTATGAACATGCATGTGACCAATTCTTCATTGTATCATTCAACAACTAGCGAGTGTACATACAATGTGATATTAGACAATAAATTACATTTTAGCTAAGTAGAATGTTAACCGATACAATGCTTTGTGATGTTGAACAGTCATACTTAAAAGAAATGGCACAATCACAGTTGCTTTGGGCTTTTCTTTATGAAGAAGGAGAGTTCAAAAAAGGCTAAGGTAGTATACAATTGGCTAAAGAAGAGAACTAAATAAAATTGTTACTAGGTAGCCAATAGCTAGGGTTTAGATGTACATTTATTTAAAAAAAAAAAAAAAAAATCGAATTATAGTGAAGTTACACATGCAAGACTATTGAACTGTCTTCATCATTTACCTAACATGAATTTAAATTCTTGTACGATTTCCATGTGTAGCTCCCCAAATTCTTTGGTAATTAGGTATTTGGTTTTGGGTATCTCAACAACAGTTGTGTTCCGAAAGCAAACATTTTTTACATTATGCCATCTTCTATGTTTCCTTCGCGTGCAATTGTTATTGGTCATTAACATATTCACTACAAAGAAAAATTCCCCGTCAAGAAGGGGGTACAATAACAATTTTTGAATTGTCATTGTAGCCCTTATCAAGAAAAGATCATGACAGTTTTCGAACTGTCAAGAACCTCTTGATAGATCCTTAAACCAAATCCTTAACAATTAACTAAATCCTTAACAGTTATTGAACTATCAAGGATTTAGTTGAATTTTCAAATTTTTTTTTTTTTTTTTCAGATTTTAGCCAAATTGTTGACAGTTTTCACACTGTCAAGATTTAGTTAATTTTTTTTTAAATTACTGAATTTTTTTTTATTATTACGTATTAAATTATAGAATAATAGAATGAAATGTTTCATAATATTATGACCATTCAACAATATATAATGAGAAATCAAACAATTGATCGAATAATACATATATTACTGTTGCTCCGAGTAAACAAAATTGAACAACAGTACATAAATTTTACAATATTGCATAAACAATAATGAAACATTTGATATATAGTTTTTGTCCTCATTGGCCTCCGACATCACTGAAACAACAATATATAACTAAAGAAAGTTTGTTACGTACATCGCCCATTCAGCTCTGACTTCATCAACCTTTGCATTTTCGTATATTTCTTTCCCCATGAACTATAAAAGTAAACACAATAAGACTAATCAATAAATAAATATCAACTATATCTTATCATTCTAAAAAAAAAAAAAAAAAAAAAACCTTACATTGTTTTTCAATAATGACAACCCATTCTCTGCTATATCTCTCATATATCTCATAATATAAAACTCACATTTAACGCATTCTGGTTGAATGGGTCCCTACACAAAATTAATTCGGAAGTAAACATTAATATTCAAAAGGTAAAACAATATTATATCTGAAAATTAATTGCTATTGATAATAACAATTCCACGCACCAATACTTTTTGCCACGAGATATTAGCCATTTTTTTGGACACCTTTCGAGCATAATGGATTAAGATACCATTGTGAAAGTTAAAACAATTTCTGAAATTAACACACAGTATTTGATATTGGATGGAGCTTAAAAAATGATGTACGTAGAAATACTAACTTTTGCACTACTTCCTATAAATCCTACCCAATATCTCCCCTCAAGGAATCAAGATAGTACACAGTTAAAGTCTTCATGTCAATAGCAACAAGAACCTAATGAAACCTATGAACAAAATTGCATAAGTACCCAACACAACAACCACAAATAAGCAATAGAATAATCACCAAGCACGAGTTTATCAGCCCAAAACAAAAACGAAATAAGATTCAACATGAAGACATCATGTTATATTCAGATTCACACTAGAGTATACAATCAACACTCAAAATTCATGTTTGGGGATATGATCTTATAGACTGAAATCAGACAATGAATACGACACAATTTAACAACAGATGCACTCTCAATAATATTTCTTTATCTAAATAAATGTAATCTAATAGGGAAAGAATGAGTACCCCCAGCAGTAACAAGTTTTTCTACATGTGCAACTATATGCTTTCCGTAGTTGTCACTCTTCTTTTAGGTTCATGGGCCATTTTAACTTTACCTTTATTAATGAAAATGGGGTCTTTCTCTAAATGATCAAAGTATTCATAAATGATTACCGCATTCTAGTGAGTTCTTCAACCTCCTCACCATTGCAACCATGAGTGCATCCAGAAAAAAGCTAACATGTCCATTTCATATATGAGATGAAGGACCAGAAACAGAACTTTTTCCCTCAAAATCCTCACAACCCTTCTTCCCAATTCTTCTAATTGAGAAGTAAATCTCAGAGCACTGAAATTTACTCGGCACCGCAACTTTTGAATCTCAATAGGCAGTCCATTGTTAGCAAGCCGTGCATCAGTTTTGTTTAGATGTACAACCTTGTATTTTTGCAGCAAGGGAAGAATCTGTTTGCAATGTCACAGTAACTCAATAATTAAGTTAATTGCATTAACACAAATACAGGAAAATCTCTCTATAGTGATACTCTATATAGAAATAAACTCTATATAATCATAAAAAAATTTATTTCCAATTTGGGATAGTTATAAATAAGAATAAACTCTACATTGTAATAAGTTATAATTTTTTTAACTCTCGTCTTAAGAAAAGTTGCCTCTACATAGTAATAATTATCTATATATTGCAAAAAAAAAAAAAAAAAAAAATATGTTATGGTACATTAAAAGTTTAAAATGAAATAAAATATTTATCTAAAGTTATTTGAGATAATAATTTATGTTTTAGAGTTGTTACTACATCTTTTAACTTGCGGGTAGATTACTCGCTAGCATAAATATCTTATTGTTGAAGCCAAATATTTCTAGTTTCTCAAGTATGTTTAGAGCTTCTTGGCACAAAACTTTTTGTATTTCTGTACTATCATCCTCATGATTATTTCTTTTATCTTTCTGTCTAATAGTAATGATTTCTTCTTTAGTTAAAGCATACATGACTTATTGCTCATTTGGATGATTGAGAAAGATATTAATATTCATTCGATTAGTATAATGAAGTTGTCGAATTTGATCACTAAATTCTACAATGACTCTTTGATTCTCCTTATCCACTTCATTTGTAACTTACAATTCATCGACATCGGGGATCCTAATTTGCTGATGATTAAAACAATTGGCAATAGTATGTGGCTTCACATCAATTTGCTGCATAATTTTATAATGATTACAACAATTAGCAATAGTTTGTGGCTTCACATCAATTTGACCATGCAGCAACTGTATTTACAATTTTATCAAAGACACTTACCTTTGATAGTTTCAAGACATGATCTTCTATCTGTTTCAAAAGTAAGCAATTGAAGCGCTGAATTAAAATCTTAATAGTATTAAAACATCAATTGAAATCCTAATACTGTACTACTAAAACATGAATTATAAAGAAATTTTTGTTACCACACCTCTATTAAGTTATAACCTCCTCATAGTAATAAAATTAATTAATCCCACCATTACGATTGTAAAGAGGTTTTATTGTATAAGAAGAAGAAGAAGGCTGATTCCAGCTTTATATTTATGCAAACCTAACTTGATTATGGTAGTAAGAAACATCATACCAACTAATGGGAGGCAATGAGGAAAACATTCCTAGTTCAACTCTTCTTTTAGGCCTCGGGGGTAATTCTTTCAATATACGAACCTCATCTCTTAAGGAAGTTATGAAATGATCAATTCATAGATAATTTCAGATCTCAAATATCTCGGAAGGGATCAGATTGATAACAATCTTTGCGCAATCACAGCACCTAATCGCGAGGATATTAGAGTTGCATTTCAATTCAATTGTAATCCCATTATTTTCACTTTTTCCTTTATACAAACTTTGTATATAAACCCCCTCAAACAATGAGAATGGGGTTGGAAAATATTCCCAGAATTACTATTGTAAGCTCTCACAGTAAATACAAGAAACAGTGGACGTAGGCTCAAGAGTTCATCTCACCAAACCACTTTAAAAATCTCTTTGCAATTTTCTTTACGACATACATTATTCATTCATTGCTAGTTATTTATAATCACGCACACACCAGTTCTGATCCCGCCAAGGTTGATCGGATCACTCAAGTTGGTGCAGATTTTTGTATCAACATTTTCTAAAAATATTTAGATTATTTTTTAATTCCTTATATTTGTTTATTTAGCTGAACACCCCCTACAATAAAACAGTAAAAATTAACAAAAACACCCCCATCCACCCATTAAATGTTGGCAGCCGGCCACCATTGCCGAAGGGTGGTTGGAAGTCGCCGGAATGGCACACGACTAGCTAGATCTAGCCGGTCATGCACCGATCTAGCCTTTTTCGACTAGATCCACCATGGATTTGGCCAAAAAAGGCCAAATCTACGGCAAAAAATCTGGCCACATCTGGTCATCAACGATGGCGAAGATAGATACGGTTGTCAACGGTCAAATCTTTGGCCGTAGATCAGTGAATCTGGCCACAGCCACATCCAGCTGGTCATGTGCCATTATGATAGATTCTAGCCATCTTCTGACGGTGGTGGCCGGCTGCTGGGAATATGTGGGTGGGTGAGGGTTTTTTTGTTAATTTATAAACTTTTATTGTTGGGGGTGTTTAATTAAATTAACAAACCTAGGGGGTTAAAAAAATCTAAATATTTTGAGTTGAATAGAATATGATTAGATTTTGAGAATATTGAAACAAATATGTATTTTGGATAGGATTGGAAATATTGAAACAAACACAGAATAAATAATTCCTTTAGTTTTTGGTTGTTTAGAATCTCGACTAGTTGCCTATGATCTTGAGATGTCAACAAATCATAGCAATGATCTCAACAGATC